GGATACTTCTTCCATGACTTTCCTTGTTGTATCAGCCTTTGAAAACTAACAACTTTCCAAGAACAAGTCCAAAATTAATTCAACCAAAACTTGTGATTTTGATCAAATTAATTCCAGAAAAATTCGAGGATTCTAACGAACAGAAATACGCATTGGCTCTGATACCAATTTTGTGAATGATCTCATATCAACAGTCGAATAAATCTGAATAATAATTGAAAGATTTTAAACAATAAAAGCGTAATTCATCAACATTGCATACCGTATATTATGAAAATGTATCAATGAGGAACAATGCACGGACAAACTGTTGACAAAGAATTATCTATCTAGGTGCTCTACGAGAATAATATGTGTGGAACAGAATGTGTAGAGACTTAGGCTGTTTCGAACCATCTCTGCCTGTATTTATAGGGAGATAGTTGAGCATCCTATTAGAGTTAGGAAACAATAAGGCATGCGTGTGTGTGTGCTTTGTAGCATTTAATAAGCTTGATTCTCTCTCAACTAAATCCTGCTAATACTAAGACTCATTAAATAAACTACAATTAATTTGAACATAATTAAATAATGTTCTAACATGGCATAATTAAGCAAAGTGAAATTTTTATTTTTGATCATTTATATTATACCCTTGCAAAAAGTAGTTTAGGTGTACTCATTGTTCTAAAACACACTAGGTGCTAGTCGAGCGGTTGAGGGGCGCCTAGCGCCTAGGTGACCGACTAGGCCGATTTTTTGCCGACTAGACCGATTGGTCCTCTATAGTTAGGGCCGAACAGGCCGGCTAAGCCAATTAATCGGTCCGACTAGGCCGGTTTTTAGAACAATGGGTTTACTGAGAGAGCGAAAGTGGGTATAAAGTAGGTCAAGAGGGAGTACTTTTACTTTTCTATGCAACCTCTACGGTCTTACAACATTACATAGACAATGACCCGATCCGGTCCCAGTTCCGGGCCGAGACCAACTGGTCTTTCCAAGTGATATGGGTACCCTGGACTAACCTGCTTTATAGCAATCCCGAACTAGGTCGTGTAGACCAGCCGGTCCGAACTCAGACTCGATTCCAAGCAATTTGTTTCTAATTGCTCAATAATTTAATATAATTAAAGGGGCCAATGCAAATATACGTCTGAAGTATATGTGAAGCTGCACATATACCCTGAACTTCTAAAATGTAGAAAAACATCCCTAATCATTCTATAAAAGAAAAAATTTACCCTTACTGACTTTAAACAAATCAAATTAAATTAAAAAAATAAAAAATAATTTATGAATTCAAAATTCAAAATTGAAAGATAAGAAATATAAAGAGTTAAAAATATAGATTCATTTTTATTTAAATTATTAACTATGTTTAAAACTGAAAATTTTATATATTTTCCTTATAAATGAAGCACTCCAAATCCATAAATGTTATTTCCAGTCTTGTTGCGTAATTTAAAACACATTGTTAATTTTTCTGAAATAATATTATTTCATTGTTTTAAAACATCATAAATTACATTCACTATTTTGTAATCATGAATTATTTATCATCATACAAAATATGCAATTTTATAGCGCAAAGAATATAAAACATTATTATTTTTTTACATTACAACACATATGTCATCACTATTCCGAAAGAACCATAAATGTATATAGTAAAGTTTTGAAATATTTTTATACTAACAATATTAAATTGTGATATAAAAATAATAAAAGGGGGAATTGGACACAAGTAGATTTTTACTTTTTACTTTCAATTCCGAAATTTTAAATTTATTATTTACTTTTTGTGATTTTTAAAATTTATTTTATTTTTTTAAAGCTAATAAGGATAAATTTTAGGGGCAGACAAAACAGTTTACAGTTCAATTGATCAGTTTTGGTTTATTCAGTTTGGAAGATATTGTACCCAACTAAAAAAAACCATTTGTGTGTTGGTTTGGTTCAGTTTAATTTTAAGTTCGGATTACTAAAGTGAAAATAATTAGGTTCAATTTAGTTAAATTTGATTCGGTTTTATATGTTATTGTTTTATTTGAAAATTGTAGTCCATCTCATCTTTTTATATTTATTATTTAAATAATTTGTGAAGGGAGATAAAAGATACTAGTAGAAAAAGAAATAATAAAATATTACTCCCTCCGTCCCATAAAATAAGTCTCACTTTCCTTTTTGGGTCGTCCCAAAAAATTGTTATCATTTCCTTTTGTGGAAAGTTTTGTGTGACTAACATTCATTTACTTTTTTCTCAGTAGTTATACCGTGTAACCGGTGCATGGTGAGCATCATGCACCCTTGTTATTTTTTATATCTCCTTTTCTTAAAATCGTTAATAATTTTTTTATTTTTGATCCGATTTTTATAAAATTTATATCAATTTTTTTTATTTTTCATGATCTTTCAAATGAGACCAATATTGCCTATGTAATTTTAACATATTAACATTTGCGTGTAAAAAAATGTAATTTAATTTTTGTCTCAATATTTTATGTGATGTAAATCCTATGTATTGAAATGTAACTCGTGTTGTTATAAAATGTAATCTCAGTTAACTACAAATGTAAATCGCTGCCTGGAATGTAACTCATATTACACCCTCTAGTGGTTCTCTCACCTTTTATACGAAATGTAAACCGCGTGTTACAAGATGTAACTTTTATCAAATTGATATGTAACTCGAGTGTATCCAAAATGTAACTTGAGAAATTTCGAAATTGTAAGGTGCGTTAATTAAAAAGTTAATTCAGGGAAATCGAAAATGTAAATCATGTTAATCAACATGTAACTTGATGTTGATACAAATGTAACTTGCGTGTAGAAATATGTAACTTATGTGTAAAAATATGTAAATTCACATATAAAAATATGTAACTCACATGTAACTCAATGAGTTTTTATATACATAATTTTAAGATAAATTGTGATTTACACAATTTTTTTTGTATTAAATTTAGTTCGGTTTTCCTTATAATCCAATAATCATTTATATAATAGTTCCATAATTTGTTAAAATTACATAAGCAATATTGGTCTCATTTGAAAGATCGTGAAAAATAAAAAATGTTGATATAAATTTTATAAAAATCGGATCAAAAATAAAAAAGTTATTACCGTTTTTTAACAACAAAAGCAAAAAAAATTGAAACCAGGCAATGCTCCGTCGTTTTGCATCAATGCGTCTTCTCTCGTTACGTTTTGGGATCGGGCACACCATCCTCATGGTGCGCCGATCCCAGGATATAATTTGCCCTTTTTTCTTACTCAACCACAACCATACATTTCCACTTTATTCTCACTTTCTTAAACTCCGATCTAAATTGAAGTGGGACTTATTTTATGGGACGGAGGTAGTAAGTATTATATATAAATTAACACATAATTTGTCTTAGTAAGGGGGTGTTTGGATGATTGCATCTACTTCTTAAAACTTCTTTTGCACCTTTAGGGAGCATAAGCATATATTAGGGCGTGTTTACAGTAACTTTTGCTTTAAAAAATAACTATTTTAGGCGATTTTTGAAAAATTGTATGATAGTAAAAGTTAGTAGTGTTTGATAAAAAAACTGATTTTGAAAAGTAAAACTGGGTAGTGTTTGCTAAAATATGTGCTTTTTTGTAATAGAAAAAGTAAAAAGCTATTTCTAGCTTTTACCTTTTAAGTGTTTAATTTAAATAGAAATTGTCAATTGAAATGCTCTTTTCAGCCTTTTTAAGCCAAAAGCCGAAAATCATTTTTTTAATCTTTTGAAAACAAACCCTTTGAGTGTTTGAGTGAAAGTGCAAAAATACTTCAGCATGTTTCAAATTGTTCTTAGTAGTTTTTTAAAAGGTGGGGGATCAGTTTCTGAAAAAACGATTCCTATTTTGCTTCTGCTTTTAAAAAAGAAGCAGAAATAGAATCAATTCCAAACACCTCATATGACTAGTGACATGAAAACATATATAGCATCTTTTCAACCACTAAATGAATCGACGGTAAAAATGTTTTAAAATTCATAATTTTATTCAAATGAATCGTGTGAAATGTATAGTGTTGGGTTAATGGCCCAGCAAGGGGTGGCCCATCAACACTTTAGGCCCCCTAGACGAACGTTCCCCAAAGCCCAAGCCAATTGGGATGGTCTTTCCCAACCCGACGGACATCCACGAGGGTGCCTCTTTCTAGATTGTGGTGAGGTTCATCCCCTACAGAACCAGCCCACATCATATAGACTGCCAAGGCCCAATGAACATCTGCCAGGGGATGCACGTATCACGAGGCAGCCAGGCACCTTGGTCCAGAAGTGCTGCAAGACGCTCGGTACCTAGAACTTGGGGCCAGCAGAACCCAGGAGGCAAGCTCATGGGCACCTTGGTCTCTACCTCCACCTAGGGATGGACTAAATCGGGTCAGCCCGGCCTAGAACCAGCCCGGCCCGCTACTGTGCTGGCCCGGACCGGACCGGGACCGGTTGGCCGGTTCCGGGCTTTTAGCCCATTTGAGCGGGTTGGGCGGGTTGGACGGGCCGGGCTCGGGCCCAGTTTTGGGCGAACCGGCCCGGGGCGGTTCGGGCCGGGCCCGGGTCAATTTTTGTTTTTTTTCAATTTTTTTACTTTTCCTAGGGTAGGGCTGGGTGATTTGGGGAGGTTTGGGGGTGGGGTGAGGGGGTCAAGGAATAACAAGAAAGCAAAAAAAAATAGACATTGAACCGGACCCGATATCAACCCAGGCCGGTTCCGGGCCCAAGGATTTGCAAAAAAAGCCCGCCTGGGCCCGAGCCGGAACCAGACTGGCCCAGGTCCATCACTACCTCCACCTCTTCCATGGAATGACCTCCATAGCCTCCGCCACCTCTATAGATCTGTAGTTGCTAGGGGGGAAGAAGATATGGAGTGCAGTTGAGCAGACCAAGAAGAAAGAAGAAAGAAAAAAGGAAGAGACAAAAAAGAAATAGAAAATAGTAAAAAATGACATATGGAAGTCTACATATGTCATTTTATCATTTTTTGATAGTTCACATACCCAATGGACTCAAAAAACAAGTACATGGACTCAATAGACCTTTTTGGTCTAGTACTAAAAACATCTAAATAAAAACATCCTTAAGAGGCTCTTTCTTTGGAATACTTGATAACAGACTAATCAAAACCTGGCAATTTCTACAAATAAAAACTCTTGTTCTAATTGACGAAGTTGGCTTACACCATTACACAAGCGAATAAGCAATTTTATGAAAATTACATTTAAAAATCATATCAGCTTTTCCGCTGTAAAGACTTAAAAGCTACAAACTCAGACCACAGGTCTTGGTACTTCAGCATTTGGGTCCAATGCTACAAATTCGGACTAGTCAAGAAAAACGAATATCCAACCTATCACTAAGACCCTACCCCATAGAACAGTTTAAAAGGTAAAACACCCGAACATGATAATGTAATCTCAAAATTCATTAGCAATACAATAATGGAATAGTACGCATAATGAAAAAATTTGGACAAAGAAACACCTTAATGTAGATGACATTTTAATCCGATGCAGCCTTGCTTTCTAAACAAAACAAAACAAAACTACAAACTCCAATATATTGCCACATCCAGTCCACATCAGTAACAACTAACAATGCCAAAAATATGGTAAAACAGATCTAAGCCTCAGCAATGGGGTACTCAAAGACAACATCTTTTCCGGAAAGCTTCCGGTATACAGCAGAAAACGTTTCCAGCTTGTATTCTGTGTCATTCTTCTGCTTCGGGTCCAAGAGGACCTGAAAAACAATAAAATATAGTGTTACCCTAAATTAGCTTGTATGCAATCAAAATTTTACCCACATAACTTGAAAATGTAAGAAAAATCTGTTTAAAAGTTCTCCACTCCTGCTTAGAACAGATTGTAGCATATTTAATACTTAGATAGTCCTGAATACATGTCTTTCCAGTAACAAGCTTTCTTAAATTCTCACTGAATGCTAGTTTGGTGGGTACCAGTAGGCAAATTGAAAAATAGTGTCACATAAAGACAAAACGTGCACATTGTGGAACAAAATATGGACTAATTATGGTACAGCTCCAACGGAATAAAATGAATGACTAGTGGTGAAAATGGGGGGGGGGGGGGGGGGGGTAAGATCTCAATTTGCCAAAAACAAATGGGCACAGAAAGAGTCAACATTATTACCTTCATTATCTTGGATCCATCAATTCGATACCTAACACGCTTGCCAACAATTTCAGCAGGGACAACAACATCCTCCAATATGGCCTCATGGACAGCAGTGAGCGTCCTGCTGCGTGGTCTCTGAACAGCAGCCCCTTTCTTTGGGGGCCTCACAATCCTTCGTGTAGCAATTACAATCACATCCTATATGAGCATGTCACAAGATCAAATTACAATCACACTTGGATGTAATTCTGTGTGTATGTACAAGATTAATTAAATGTTTGAAAACTCAATCAATCCCCTGAAACACGAAGGTGTACTTTGCAAAACTAACGCAAACAAAAGTTAATATAAATAAATTTTAACATAATAATATATTAACATCTTATATGTTACTAGGTCTACCGAACTACACCTATGATGTCGAAATAAGAAAAGAAAGGCATTTGTAGTCATTGATTAATCCAAACTGCTCAAAATACACCTATGATGCCAATCAAACTGCTCAAATAATAAATTACTTCCATCACTATTATGTACAACCTCCGTCCCAAAATACTTAGCTAAATTCAAAACTTTGACCAATTATATATATTTATCGAAAATTATTTATAATATAAAAATGATATGAAAATGTTCTTTGTTAGAAGTAGTTTCATAACAATAAAAGATTGATAACTTTCATGATATTATACTAATCAAAATCATGGTTCAAAATTTAAGATTTGGCTAAGTATTTCGAGACGGAGGTAGTATGCGGCAACCAATATATATGGTGAAGAATTCATGGTCGAGTAATCTTGATGAAGTATGACAACCATTGACATCACGGATCAAGGTTTTGCACATGAAGAATTTGCTTCAAGATATGGTGTGATGGATCAAAATCATCAGATAAGATCTTCCTTCCAAAAAAAATAGTATGATTTTTTCAAGGTATACCAACTTATTTACGGCAAGATACAACTCTTAAAAATCACGGATTAGCACTTATGTTTTCAAACTCATAGTTTATTCAAATTTATCATATCGAACTTATCGGTAACTTTGTTTGGCGATTTACAGAAATACTACGAAAAAGAGTTACAACGTATTATTTAGGACAAGAAAAACTTTAGAAAATTACTACGTAACTCTTTTTCTGGACAGAGGGATAAAGCACAAATGCACTCTAAATTTCAAGGGCAGTATCATGTTAAACATACCTTCCCGCTGAATTTTTTTTCCAGCTCCCTGACAAGCCTTACATGAATTTTGCGGAAAGCCTTTCTCAGTCTGTATGGCACATGGATAACCACAGCCTTTCTGTTTCCAGAGACATCAATTTGTCTAACAAAAGATATACAGAAGTTAGAATCAATACCTTTTGTTAAAAAAAATAGTGCATCCATCAGTCTTACAGGGCAGAATTGATGTACAGGTCCTTCAAATCACTCTTGAGCTCTTGATTGGTATTTTCCAAATCAAACAAAGCCTGTTACGTGTGAACAATTGAAAACTCACTTAGCAAAACAGTTCAAATGACTAAATGGATAAGTTTCAATATATGCTAATTCAAGTATGGGGTTACCTGTGCAACGGACTCCTCGAATTCAGTAGGTTCGGCAGCCTTGTCCTTGCGAATTTTCGTCAAAGATGTATACATCTTCACGGATCTAAATGCAAACACTATTGATGCCACAATTAGAAAAATCATATTGCAAAACTAACAGTCGTGATTTTCATAGAAGAATTTAATATCATGCAAATAAAATATCATTTACCAACAAGGGCATGCTGAAAAATCAAGGACTTGAGTTAGAACAAGGTGAACTTGATTATATCTTAAAAATTAAACAAAACCATAAAAAAGTACAACCAGTTCGAGCAAACCAACTATTAATTTAAGCAACTGCTTAAAGAAAAAGACTAAAGAAGGGGCTACAAAAATCAAATCTTTATTAAGAAAAAACATGTCAGATTCATACCAGGGAAGACGTACCGGCGATTAACTCCCGGCGAGCGCACTAGTGACTTGCGTCCGACCGACAACACACACGGAGAGGCTCGGCTCGATATAGGCTTTCAGCAATGCAAATTCTGGGCTTAGGGTTTTTGAAGTTTATCACCAGGCGTTTGACGGCTTAGATTTACTGGTGTCTATTACTATCATCGGATACAAATGAATTGGATCTATTGTCTTGGGTACTTTGTATCATGGGCTATTTGGGTTCTGTTTTAAGGCCCGAATGTCTTTGTAGAGCATTCCTCGGGTTAGAATCTTGTGGAAATTACCCGTATCAACCCCTTTTGCCTTAATCTTTCGTTTCTCTCCCGAAACAAACTTCTTTTCATTTATAACTTTCAAGTTTTCACTCTAGTTATTTTATTTCAAAAACAGTCCAAATCCTTAATACTTCGTATATATACTCCGTAACTTGCAATCGGATATAATCGATCTTACATCAGGAACAAACCAGAATATAATTTCTTCCTTCTCTGCAACATCGTCTTCGAATATAGCCGAAATTAGAGACTGAGATTCCTATCGATGAGACCGTAATCCAAGTCGGCAACCCCGATTGGGAGGTTTACAGTCTCAACCATGGCTGAATTGCAACTCACAACAGTGAGCTAGTCAAGTGAGAACCCGAGTCGGAAACTCCAACAGTGATCTGCTTTCAAAAATGGTGGATGTCAAAACTAGCCTGGAACTATTCTTCGGATGTAAAGAAGATGCCGCCAAATTACGCCATCGACCATACCATCGTGAGCACACTTAAATTCCTTTGGATCCTCTGATTTCTTTCCTGAATTTAATTTCTCTTTTAAATTGATTTTCCATCTGGATTATATATGATATCGTGACTATTTCGCGTACTTAGATAGAATGAATCTAAATATGTTATTTATTCATTTACTCTGAATTTATAAGTACTTAAAATTTTCCATTGTGAAAGTTATGTATGGAAGATAGTTTTGTATAACCTAAAGGCATTCTCGGATTTATTCAATCTAGGAAAATAGCTTTTCTCCAAAAATTCTACATCATGAAATGTGATTACCTTGAATGCTGTGAGCTTGTTTATCTGAAAAATTACTTATTATTGGTTATTACTGGCTTTTCATGCGATATTTATTTAGCAGCTTAGACTTTGTCATGGAAAATATTCAAAATTCAGTTGTTGTTCTCGTGATGTTGCTTGACCAAAGATTTATTTCTAAGTTGATGCAGTTGAGATACAGTTAAATATGGAAAAGTTTTGAACATTAGGTATATTGTCAATAATATTTCATTACTTCTGAGATTTTTAACTTGTCATATTTGATTATTTTGTACTCCTTATGTGCCTTAGACTGTAGTCTTATATCTTTGGGTTGTAATTCTATATACCAAATATCAATCAAATGAGAATTTCCACTATCTCATTCTGCAGAAGTTTCTTTCTTACATGGTTGGGTATTTCTTAGAGATGCAATTCCTTAACTCAACTCCACTAAATCATTATCTCAATTTAATTTAATCTGTTACATGGATTTTCTTTGCCCATACAATTTTTGAGTTTTGAAAGTGAATAACAATTTAAGAGCTTCTTATTTTTCTTTTGGATGTTTAGTTGTTGAACTAAAGTAATGTAATTTTAATTTCATAGTAAATTCAGCATGCATCACGGTAATACGTGCTAATATTGAGAAGGAGGAGGATTTTCGAGGGTTATGTGCAATGGTATGTATCATTTCTTTCTAGCGTGTAAAATTGAATTTGGGGAACCAGTTAATGATTGGTGTTTCATCAATTTACAGGTCATAGCAAATCCATTAGGGGCTTTGAGTGCAATGGTTTTCATTTTTAAAGCCATTTCAAGTTGACAGGTAAGAGATAACACTAGTTTTCTGAGGGTTGTTTGCCAATGTACGTTGTTTGCTCTAAATAATTTGTGAGGGTTGTTTTCTATGCTTTTTTTAGTTTCAAGAAATGAAGAGCATTGATCTTTAAACTTAGGTCATTCAGGTGTTGCAGGAGTACAAACTAGTTTAGTGATTTTAATTTATTTATTATGGATTCCACTATTTAAACAAAGCAACTATAAGTCATCCTTATGGGATTTTTATACTGTTCAAAATTTCAGATGCCTAGCAATGAAGAGTGGGAACTGTATCGTGCATGTCTGATCTTGAAGCTCCCATGAAGGATAAGCTTCTAAAGTACCTTGCTTAATGCTCAGTGCTTTTTCTTCTTAATTTCTAAAGCAGCTTGCTTAATGCTCAGTGCCTTTTCTTCTTAGCTTCTAAAGTACATTGCTTAATGATTCTTTTCAGGTCATTGAGAAAAAGCCCCGAAGCTGAAGTATGACCTTCCCTTTACTTGGAACTTGGAAGTAATCAAAAGCTATTAGCGAGCGTAAACTGTGTAAGGAGTACCACCATCAACTGGTGTGGAGAATGACAAAAGATGGTATATGAATGACAATCCAGATTGAGAGACATTTAATAAGGCACACCAACACTTATATGGGTGACATACAGGAGAAGAAACTACAAGAAGAAAAACCAAATAATATAATTGATAAGTGTACTAAATTCAAATAATAGTTTGAATTGTATATTTGTTGTGACACTATGATGTATTATTTTTTGTTGTTTTCTGTTGTATCATGTATATTTTATTTTGTTGCATCGTGTTGCATTTTGTTGCAGCTTGTTATTTTTTGTTGCACCTTGTTTCTTATTATTGTTTATTCAGAATTTTGTTGTTTATTTGGATTTCTATTTATTTTTCTTCATCCTTAAAATAGATATATATTTATATACAAACACTTAAAATATTAAATTTCAGTTAATGAATATGAACAACAACAAGAAACATGAAGAAACAATAAAAAACAGAATTTTGAAAGTTATCAACAAAAATAAACACAAAGAAACAATGAGAAAAAATTTGGCATTAAAATGATCGTAATAATTATTAGATTATGTAACCATTTTAAAAGTTTTGAGTTACAAAAATTGCACTTATTACCTTTCTGTATCATGTATATTTCATTTTGTTGCATCGTGTTGCATTTTGTTGCAGCTTGTTATTTTTTGTTGCACCTTGTTTCTTATTATTGTTTATTCAGATTTTTTTTGTTTATTTGGATTTCTATTTATTTTTCTTCATCCTTAAAATAGATATATATTTATATACAAACACTTAAAATGTTAAATTTCTGTTAATGAATATGAACAACAACAAGAAACATGGAGAAACAATAAAAAACAGAATTTTGAAAGTTATCAACAAAAATAAACACAAAGAAACAATGAGAAAAAAATTGGCATTAAAATGATCACGATAATTATTAGATTCTGTAACCATTTTAAAAGTTTTGAGTTACAAAAATTGCACTTATTACCTTTTTCAAAATTTTCGGGTATATTTTTTTTAAATTTTATTTTCTTTTTTCACATTTTTATTTCATAAATTTATATATTTATAAAATTTCTTAGGTTTTTAGTATTTATGTATTTCAGTTTAAAAAAAATACTCTTTTCATAAAAAACTTTAAATGCTTTTCATATTTTTATAATATTAAATTACGAATTTATATATTTTTGAAAATTTACGATTATAATTTTTTATATTTTTGCTTTTTGGAAATTTTTATTTTCAGCTTTATTTAATTTACATGAATTTTAGTTATCATTAACTTTTTATTTTTTGATAAATTTTAAGAATCTTAGTTTCTATTTTTATTTTACTCATAAAAATTTTATTTTATTTTTGCATGTTTCTTATATATTTAGTTGAATTTTATTTTTTTCAAATTTTTTATATTTATTTGAATTTTCTATGATTTTACTTTGTATATATATCGATTTAAAAAATATTACTTGTTGGTCCAAAATAGGACGCTCATAGGCTTTTAGGAAAGCTACGTACGACACTTAAGTGGGAATAAAGAAAGTAATATGAATAAGGAAAGTTGCAAAGGGGATTTGGTAGCCAGAAATAACATGTAGAATTCGTTTCCCCTAATCTGAATTACAACCCACCTTTTATAGGCGTATACAAATCGTAACCGCTACCGATAATAATGACTAATTAATTACAACATTAATACGGAATTAAATACATAATTAATAGCGCATTAATTGCTTGACCGTTACTTTTCCTGGCTGGGAGGTCGGCCGGACTGGCAGGCTCCCCGCTGGGCTGGCAGGCAGGCTCCGGGTTGTGGACTTGGATCCACGAGTTCAAGTTCGGAGCTTGGGCTGATTAGGCTCCGGGCCTAGTCCCATTACTCCATCACGAGTCCCCCACTCCCTTAGTCGAGTAGTAGACTCGGCTAAGAAGGAGTAGTCCAAGTCAGTTGCTCTTTTCCGAGACTAGAAGATCCCCGCCCTTGTCCATGTTGGGGAGATGCCTCATTAAAAACCTTCATCGGGAAAAAAACCCAATGGGAAAAAGTCCTAATGAAGGGAAAAAGAGTACATCTGATGCCCCCAAAATGACGCAAGAGGTGAGATCCTCAGTCTTTATTGCAATGGTCGCCATCTGCAAATAGGATGCCAAGAAATGTTCTTCTCTTCGGGCTCAGACTCGTCAGGTTCGTCATTTGCTTCCTTGAAGATGGTAAGACCCTCAGTCTCCCACGTCATTCAGTTGTACCTACACATAAAAGAAACTAGTGTAGAATAGAGCATCTGGCCTGGTGTCGAACCACGGCTCAGTATGTAAGTGAGTCGGACTCACTACTTGAAAAGAGTGACATCAAGTTCCCAAGTTAGGCCTCAACCCAGTCTCCGAAAGAAAGATTGAATCTGCGAGTAAGTGAGGCGGACTCCTCACTCGAACGGATAATCCAACCCCAGAGAACTAAAGTATATCAACCTCTTCGAGAAATGTGAACGTCAATTAAGTGACAACATTGCTCGGAAAAACGTGGCTCTAGGCCCCTAACAAGAGTTTAACTCGCCGCCCGAGGTTAGTAGTTCGAACCCGCAAGCAAAGACTTTTGAACGGGTGACTCGTCCCCCGAGGTCGGAGTGTGATGCACTAGGAAGAGGTAAGAGCACGCAAGAACTCGTAAGAAGTCAAGAGTGTGAGGTATTAACATTTATATTGGAGCTTATTAATCGCAACACCCATATGACATGACCCGGTGGCGCGAGTGTGTGTGCTCGACCATTGTACGAGTGTGTGTGCTCGTCCGGTGTATGT